GAAAAGGAGGGGAGGGGGCCATGGATTCACGCACCGGTAGAGGTAGTAGAAGAAGCAGAGCAGGTAGAACACCAGCTTGAAGAGGCCCTCCCGGCGGTGGCGCGAGAGCTGACGGAAGATGGAGGTCGCATCGCAGAGGTACTTGCCGGAGTTGTACCTGCGTGTGTGTGGGGGGAGGAGGGAGGGCGAACGTCAGAGAGCAGCCAAGAGAGAAGACAGACAGGGAGAGGGAGTAGAGGGGGGGGGGGCGAGAGACGCACTTCATGCCGTGGTAGACCAGGAGCGGCAGGTTGAGCAGGAAGGCGAGCCAGCTCCGGGAAAGCAGGAAGATCACGGTCAGGGCAGTATGGGTGATCATCTCAGGGAGGATGATCTGTGTGTGTGCGGGGGGGGAGGCGGGGGGGGGATGTGTGCGCAGGTGACGAGTGGATCACAGGCGCAATGGGAGGAGGGCAGGGTCAGTGGGGCCGAACGCGCATGAAGAGCGGTGCAGCGGGAGGGCCCGCTCGCCGGCTGGCGGCGTGCGCGTGCGCACCTTGTTGACTCGAATGCAGCACTCGATCGGGTTGATGTAGTCGGACTCGAGATCGGTGAAGAGGATGAACTGTGGGCAGCCACAAGCGCGCCGGGTGCATGGGGACCAAGTGCGGGGGGGGGGGGGGGGCGGGGAAGGAGGCAAGCGCGCAGGCGGCAGCCAGACGGCCGGGGAGGGGGGTCAGTAGGTGCCGAGAGCGGACCGGCCCCCGGGGCAAGGTGAGGGCGGCAGGGCGGGCGAGCGCCGCGGCATGTGCGCACATAGAAGACCATCGCGAAGAGGAGGGCCGCGGCCGCGACGACCGCAATCACAAAGAGAATTGCTTCGCCACCCATGGTGTCGGACGGAACTACGAGCGGCGGAGGGGACAGGCGGGCGAGTCAGAGACCGAGGATGCACATACCGACGCCATGCGCGGGTGCGTTGGGCAAAGGCGGAAAACGGGGCGCACCGGTTGCGTGACCGTCGGGAGAGGAGAAACAGGAAGGGGTGGGGAGGGGGGGGGGAAGGGAGGGAGAGAGGGGGAGGGGGGGGGAGGGGCGCCAACCGGTGCAGGGTGTCGCGGCAATGAGTAGGATGGAAGTAGGGCCGGCAACGCACTGGGGGGGCCGGCGCCGGGGGACGCCTTGAAGGTGTGAGCCCAGCGCCGCTGCCTTGTTTCCGCCCTCCCCCCCTCCCGGCCGGGCCCCGGTGTTCCCGGCCCACTCAAGCCGCGGCGTGTCATGTTGACACATACACACGTACACGTATGGCGCGCATTCCATTCGTGTGTCCCCCGCTCCGCGCACGCGCGCGCGCGCGCGCCCCCGCCGCCTTGCGCGCAGGGCTCGCCGGGGAGGAGGGCGGCCCCCGCGCGCGCGCGCGCGCGCGCGGAAAAAGCGTGAGCCCCGGCCGCCAGGGCGCCGACCGGTGGCCGGGGAGGGGGAACTGTCCGCCGCAGGGGGGTGGGGGTGGGGGGGGGGGGCCGAAATTTGAATGCTGCCGCGCGACCCGCCAACGGCGGGGGATTCGCCCCCACCGCCAGGGGGGGGGGGACGGGGGCTGTCGCGGAGTCCGCTCCCCCAGGAAGGAGGGAAACGCGTCCGGGGTAAGTCCTCCCCCCCCCCCGGCTGGCAGGCTGGCTGCTAGACCAACCGGCCCGGAATAACCACCCAGCATGCGCACGCGTCTCTCTCCTGCGTCCCGGGAGGGAGGGCTGCTCCGGGGAGATTGGTCACGGAACAGCGCGGGGGGGGGGGGGGGGGAGGGGGGGACGTAACGAGATCAAGCCGCACAGGGGGCGGGGTTTGCACCGTGCCCGGCCGCCTCCAAGGGGGAGAGGGGGGGCGGACATCACCACGCATTTCCGCGCTTGTCCCGGGCCTCAATTGTGCCGCCCGGCGGTGACACAGCGCCCGGCCAGCGGGCCCTTTTCCGCGTCCGCCCCCTTCGGGCATGGCCGGGAATATAAGCGTCTATTTTTATGGCACCACTTTTCGAGCGTCTTAGTCCCCAAAACCCGGGGCGGCCTTCGCGGCCGACTCTCCGGCGAGGGAGAAAGAGAGAGAGAAGCCCACACACCGCAGACACACGGGTTGTGGTGGTGCTATTGTTGTGCGGCAGCCGCCCGTCCGGGGGCCCATCCCGGCAGCTGTTCCGCGGCGGCCTGTGGCCAGGGCGGGGCACACACGCCCTGCCTGGGTGTCGCCCCCCGGCGGTGTATGTTTTTCGGATGGCTGCCGGATGCGGGCCGCGTTCTCTTTTTCTCCCCCCCCCCTCCCCCCCTCGCTGCCTTTCTCCAGACCACTTGCCCGGAGTCCCCCCCCCCTGCTTATTCTTCTCGGAGACGCGAGAAGGCCGCGGGGCGGGTTGGGCCCACGATGGCCGGCCGGTTCCCCTCCCCTGCGCCGCCCCCCGCCCCCGAGCGGTTGGAGGCCCTGTCAGGGACGCACGCCGTCCCGGATCACGGGTGATACGACCCCCGGCGGACCGTCGGCACGCGCGGGCGTATTTTGGCGGAGCCATCGCTTCCGACTTCAGAACGCCCGGCGCAGCGATCCAGAATCGACACGGCGAGGCCCCGGAGCCGGCCGCGGCCCATTGTGGGCTCGGTGCCTGCCTGGCCCCGGCCCGGCGGAATGCCAACAGCCGGCTGGTCAGGCGCCCGAGGACGGTCACGGGGCCGCGTCGCCGGCGAACGGCGCGCGATCTGGCACCACCGGCCGCTGTGCACTTCCCCGCGCCCCGGAGGTGGGACTAACAAAAGCCCGGCGGAGGGGCACACCACTCTCCCGTCTGCCGTTGGCACACACACACACACACACACACTCTCTCCCTCTCTCTCCACCCCGCCACTGATCTTCATTCCCCTGCCCCCCTCCTGCTCCCTTCCCTCTCTCCCTCCCTCCCCCCTCTCTCCCTCCCTCCCCCCTCTCTCCTTCCTTCTCTCTCTCTCCGTCCATTGCCCGGCCTGTCGCCGCCGACGGACGCCCCATGTCTTTCCAGATCCCCTTCGCCACGCGGGTGCTCTACGAATGCGCCTGCTGTGCGGCCCCGCCCAAGCGGGCCGGTGCCGAGGATCCCCCGCTGACCGACGCCCCGGACAATCCCCCACGCGCCTTGGAGGAGCTGTTCTTCTGCGATAGATGCCAGTCACTGCGGTGTGAATCGTGCGCGCATGCACTCGTCCTCGATGGACTTGGCCTCGGAGTGGTGGCCGCCCCCTGCCCTGCCCCTACTGACTCTCCCTCCCCTCTCTCCCCCCCCCCTCTCTCTCTCCTCCTCCTCCTCCTCCCTTCCCTCGTATGGGCCGTCCCAGATGCTTGGCGCCGCAGCAGACCAACTCCTGGCACTGCCCCCGGTGCCTGTCCGAAGCGGCATCCGCCTCCTTCCGCACGGCCAAGGGCCAATGTGCGCGTCCTTCCTGCCAGGCATGCCCCGCGTGCGGGGCAATGGCCCTGCTGCCGGCCGGCTCGGCTCCCATGTACCTCATTTGCCAAAATTGCCAATGGAGCGACAAGGGCCCGGCCGGCAGCCCGCGGCGGCCAGCCTCCGGCCTCGGCAGCGGCCCCGGCTTCCGGTCCCGCAGCGAGACCAGCTTCCTCCAGGCCTCCTTCGAATTGAACCGCAACATGTCGGCCTCGCTGCTGCTGTTGCTGGATTCCAAGGCGGCCGGTGGGCCGGGGGCCGGTGGGGCCGGGCCCCCGCGTGCGGCCGACGGCACCACGGCCATCTGGCCACAGCGTGCCCCTGGCGATGCGGCTGGCCGCGGTGATGAGGAGTTCCCCCTGGCCCGGGCGGATGACGAGGCACTGGCCCGCGCATTGGAGGCCCTCTCAACCGGCGAGGAGGGCGCCCTGGCGGAGGTTATGACGCGCGCCCTGGCGCCGGCTCCCACGGACGACGGCCAAGCGCCGGCCTACGCCCCGATCGGTGCGTGTGAGCGCGAGTGCACCCTGCCACTGATTTTGGTCATGCCCTTTTGCCTCCCGCCCCTCGTCCCCTCCCCCCCCCCCTTTTTTCCACTTGCTCTGTGCCTGACTCTGCTGCCTGATTCCGCCGTGGGCCCGCGCCAGCTGTGGGAGATGAGCTACTCGCATCCAACACGACGGATTTGCTGCCCGGGGCCACGCCGGCGGCCGTGCGCTTGGTCTCGCGCACGGACTACCGGTGCCCCGGCTGTGCGCAGCCGGTCCTCAGCCATGATACCAGTACCTTTGGCACGCGCTTCAAGCTGCGCAAGCCGGCGTTGTGCGTGGCACCCCTTCTCCTGTGCGGGCCATCCATTTTCCCGTTACTCACCTGGCTGGTCTCCTTCTCGCTGGTCTTTCCTATCTCTCTCTCCCTCTTTGCTTCTCTTTGTGGTTGTTTGCTTCTTTCTGCCTCTCTTTGTTTTTCTCTGCCTCTCTCTGCTTTTCTCTGCCTCTCTCTGCTTTTCTCTGCCTCTCTCTGCCTCTCTCTGCTTTTCTCTGCCTCTCTCTGCTTTTCTCTGCCTCTCTTTGCTTTTCTCTGCCTCTCTCTGCCCCCTCTCCCCCTCTCTCTCCCCCTCTCTGCCCCCTCTCCCCCTCTCTCCCTTGTGGCCCGCGCTACGGCTCACAGTGAGAAGATCCCCGCCGTGCGGCAGTCGGGCCGCCACCTGCGCGCGGCCATTCTCAGCTCGCGCCTTCGGCCGGCCAGCACGCGCGGCATGTTTGCCCTGGTCCTGGCCAATCCGGTGGACGTCCCATGCGACGTGACATTGGCCTTCTTCGCGGCCGGAGACCTTCCCAAGGCCGGGGAGCCGGCTGGGCCGGCCCTGTCCACCGCCACGCCGGCCTTCACCCGGACGCTGACCCTGGCCGGGCATTCGCCCCTCGGCGACTATGATGAGGATGAGGACGACGAGTCGGCCTTGCTGCTGGCCGACGATGGCGGCCTGCTGCTGGGCGAGACCCCGGAGTCGGTGGTTCGGGCGGAAAACCGCGCGTACATCCCCCTGACGGATGCCACCCTGCAGGGTCTTCTCCGGCCACTTGGGGGGGATCTGGCTGGTGACCCGGCCTCGGGGGCCCTGCGAGAGACGCACTCCCTGCGTCTGCGCATGTCGGTCACCCCGGCCGATGGGACCGTGTCGCACCATTGGATCCACATGCTCCTGCACCAGCCGGATGTCCAGGCGTGAGCGCCTCTTCCGGCTTCCTCCCCCC